TCTCTCTGTGTCTCTCTGTCTTTCTGGTGAACACACACCCTATAGCAAAAACCTCTCCAAAACAAAAGAAATAATACATGAGTTTTGAAAAGAAGGTAGAAAGGTGGGAGACAATGAGACTATGCTGACAAACACTGGAAGGAATACTACAGAAATCTGATCACAAAAATATCCCTTACTGATGGGAACTTCTTGAATGGGAGAAAAGTTTGTCTCAATACCAAAATCTCTCCCTCTTCCCAATCCTTTCCTTCTTCAGATTCTCTGGCCCTGCCCTTTTACTTTTTGGATCATTTTTTTGTATCATCTATGCATTCCTGGTTCCTCAATTATATCAGGGTAGTGGTCAAGAGTATAAGCTAGGACAGACTCCATGACCTAGTGGTTAGGCAGCTGGAACCCACATAGCCTACTACAGCAGCTTGAGAAATATGCCAGACACATGTGAATCCATGCTCCAAATCTCAATAGGAGAGAGAAATGAAGGCGAAAGGACTGAGGCATGACCATTACCCATGGGTGGGAGGGGCTCTCTTCTATTCCCTCTCCCCCACTTCTCTCCATCTCTGGTGAGAGTATATGCCCTCTAACCAAAAAAAAAAAGTACAAACTAGAGTCAACTTCAATAACGGTTGTGTCGGGAAATAGCAGTTAGCGTAATGGCTATGTCGCTGGACTCCCATGTAGTCGACCGTGGTTCATGTCCTGAACCCGGTGGCTTAAAACTCATGCCGGGCGCGTGTGCGTGCGTGCCCAAGATCCCGAGAGGAGAATGGAGAAGGGATTGCAGCGTGACCATCCCCCCTGGGGGGTGATTTCTTGCTTTCTGTCTCTATGTTTCTCTCTGTCTGTCTGGCAAGCGCACGCGCCCTACAGTGAAAAAACCTCTCCAAAAATAAATAAATAAATAATGGTTGTGTCATTTACGAACCTGCATATCAGTTTACATATTAAATTAGACTTCTCTGAGCTTATCTCTTATATGTAAAATGAGAATACAGTATCCATTTCATAGAGTTGTCATCAGCATTAAATGAAATGTTATATATAAGGAATTTAAGTATCTGGCACATAATAAAGCTCTAAAAACATAGCTATCATCATTACTATTATTATTATCAAATTCTTCCAACAGTACAGTATACTCAAAATTACCAGTGCTACAAGCTTATATTATAGTTGGCTATTCAGGGGACCAGAAGATGGTGTAATGCTTATGTTGCCGGACTCCCATGTAGTGGACCACAGTTCAAGTCCTGGGTCCAGTAGCTTAAAACTCACGCAGGACATGTGTGCATGCGTGCCCAAAATCCTGAGAGGAGAATGGAGGAGAAGGGACTGCGACATGGCCATCCCCCAGGAGATGATTTCTCACTTTCTGTCTCCCTATCTCTCTCTGACTTTTTGGTGAAGGCACATATCCTATAGCAGAAATCTTTAAAGAAAAAAAAATTGGTAGTTTAGAAAAGTATTTTCTGAAAAACATTTCAAGTGGGGCCCTTTTTCTGTATTCAATGTCTTGTCCTAGTGCAGGCCCTAACATGGTGTTTTACAATTGCCTACTAACAGTTCTGGCATTCTAAGGCAATCACCATACAACCAGCACTAATGTTTATGTCTGCCACTCTCCAGATTAAAAGGTCTTCTCCCTGCTGCCTACAAATAGAGAATCTGGTGTCTTCATATAGCAGAGAGGCCCTTTACAATCTGGCTTTAACCTGTTCCCAGTGTCACTTCTAGTCACTTCTCTGAACAGCTAGTTATAACAGATGAGTTGCTTTGTCCTAAATAGACCAGGAATTTTAAGAGACTGCATACCACTGTAAATGTTTTTCCCTATGTCTGAGAAAACTGTCCTCTTTCTCTTCACTCCCAGTTTTAGAAACCTACTCATCTTTTTTTTTTTCTTTCTTTCTTTTTTTTTTTTTTGGAGAGGTTTTCGCTATAGGGCACGTGCGCTCACCAGAGAGAGACAAAGAGACAGAAAGCAAGAAATCACCCCCCAGGGGGGGTGGTCAA